GGTTTATGAGTGAGTGGCTGCAGTACAAGCATTTAACCACTGTGCCACGAGGGCTCTTCATTCAAATAAATATGGAGTCAACAATGCAAATGCATTCACAATCTCCTTTTTTTGGCATGCAGCATTTTATCTGAGGTCTATTCACATCAGTTATTCACACCACCAACAATGCAGAACTTTAAAAAAAAAAAAAAAAACGGGAGAAAAACTCCGATATTGATTATCCTGGATTAAGTGGGTTTTTTGGTAGCCCCCTACCCAAAACATAATTGGGTGCATTCAGGGTGTGTTTGAACAATGGATATTTAACCTAGATCCATCCTGGATTATTTTCACAGTGTGAATAACCCCAGAGAAACAGTACTGTTAGCTGGGACACCGACAGAAGACTTTCCAAGGATGTCCTTAGTAATTGGAGAGGGACAAATGAAGCAGGTACTTCTTCAGGTAAGCTGATTTGTTTGCTTATTTTTACTTATTTATTTAATATTACCTTGACTTTCTTTAAAAAAAAATGGATGCAAGGAAGCACGTCTCCAAGAATGTCCAGGAGTCCTTTCATACTACATATTATACCATTATATTTCCACTTCAACTACCATAATTCTATCATATGGAATTTTGGAATTCGCAGTTTAAGGAGAGGTATATAGAATTCTCAGTCAGAGAACTCTACTGCCTCATCATGCTACAAATCCCAGGATTCTATAGGATGCAGCCATGACTGTTAAAACTGATGCAATACTCATGACTAATAATAATAATAATAATAATAATAATAATGTTTTATTTAAAGCCCGCCCCTCTGCTCAGCAATCGGGGCAGGTTACAACATTTAAAACAAACAGAGTTAAAACATTCCCTTCTCCATAATCCACTCTCCTAGCCCCTTAAAACAAGATTAAACCAAGAAAAAATTAAAACATAACAATACAGTTAAAACTATAAACCAACAACAAGGAATCAGTTATACCAACGAAATATAAACTCATCTCCTTACAACAGATGTTATCCTGGGAAGGCCTGTCGGAAGAGATCCATCTTTACTGCCTTTTTAAAAGCATCAAGAGTAGTAATATGACGGATCTCGTCCTGCAGGCCATTCCAAAGTCTGGGAGCAGTAGCAGAGAAGGCCCTCTGGGAGGTCTGAGACAGCCTAGTTTTTATTAGCTGTAACAGATTCCTCCCAGAGGACTGCAGGGCGTGGGGGGGATCATACAGGGAGAGGCGGTCCCTAAGATAAGATGGACCCAAGCCATGCAGGGCTTTAAAGGTCAAAACCAACACCTTGTACTGTGCCCAGAAACCAATCGGCAGCCAGTGGAGGGATTTAAGCACAGTTGTTATTTGCTCCCTCCTAGATGTTCCTGTAATTAACCTGGCTGCCATATTTTATACCAGTTGTAGTTTCCGGGTTAGGCACAAGGGTAGCCCCATGTAGAGTGCATTGCAGTAATCCAGATGGGAGGTTACCAGGGCGTGTACAACAGCTTTAAGATCCCTCACATCCAGATAAGGGCGCAGTTGGCATATCAGCCGGAGTTGATAGCAGGAGCTCCTGACTGCCTCATTCACCTGACTAGTCATGTGAAGCGACGAGTCAAGGAGTACCCCCA